ATACTAGTTCCTGCCTCACTATGGGCCCATGAGCCTCTGGGGCTTGCAGCAGCAGCAGGGTCGGGGCATTGATGGGCATTCCATAGTGGGTGTTGGGAGGGGCCTGTCATGAGTTTTTCGGGTCTCCCAGATCCTAGTTTTCACGGTCCCCAAGGTAAACCCCCAACGTCCGAGCTCGGGTATGGGTGGAAACAGTCTCGAACTTGATGAGGGATGTGGCAAAGTAGGTTTGGGCTCAGGCTCTGAGGTTTCGTGTATGCGGTTTTGGGTCTGGTGCCCAAGGCCAACAAGCACGGTGTCATGCTGGTTGCTGCAACTATGGTACCAAGACTGATCATGTAAGAACCGTTCAACGCATGGTGAAAAGCCTTGCTGTCTACCCGACTCTGAGGGCACAAACTTCACCAGCAAATGACACCTCAAGTTCATTTGTGGTGCTTGCCTCTCCTACAAGGCATGAGCTGTTCAAGCAGCTTTTGCCACAGCTGCTACGGCAACTCGCGGATGAGAGTGCTTAGAGTCAAGCTTCCGCAGCGTGGCCACTTCGGCAGACACGATGTCGCGCACATCCTCAGTCGAGTACAGAGCCAGCCCTCTGCATCTAAACGCCCAATACATCTTAATGTAACTCAGAAACATGTAAACAATGAGAAGTAGCCTCCGTAGTTCCAGGTACATTCTTCACTTGAAGTGTGTTGGGCTCGCCGGGAACTAAGCAAGTCTAGCCGGCTGTCGGCGACGATACGTGATGCACATGCTTAGGGCAGAGACCTATCAGACAAAAAGCACACATTCACAAGTCGCAGACGGCGCAGAAGCCACGAGTTCTACATGTACTCTACATCATAGGCTGCATGCTTCTGTCTGAGACCGTGAGCAAGTGCAACACCGAAGTGGAACAGCAAGACAGCTTACCTTCAGACTTCGGAATCCTTCGAACGTTGAACTGCTTCCTCGACACATGCATGGACAGCATCGACGAACGATTGACAAGCAGGCCTGCATACCAGACTTCCGCCAGAGCGAACCCACCAACTTACATACTGGGTGAATAATCAGAAGAAGAAGAAGTCCTAAGCTGAGCATGCATCTACCTATCTATTTGTCTATCTATCTACTTATCTATGTATATATATATATGTATATATATATATATATCGGTCTATCGATCTATCGATCTATGTATCTGTTTATCCGTCTAGTTGTCTATCTATCTATCTATCTATCTATCTATCTATCTATCTATCTCTGTGTGTGAACGGATGTGTCTGCGGGTCTGTGCATGTATGCTAATCTACATGTGTAGATGCAGGCATGCAGGCATGCATGCATGCATGCATGCATGCATGCATACATACATACTCACATAGCCTAGCTAAACACAGCACGACACAACACAACATGACACGCCGTGCCAGATCTTGCCTTGCCAGCACGTGCCATGCCCTGACAACATACATGCATGCATGCATACTTACATACATGCACATAGTTACATACAAATACATAGAGTTGCATAGAGTCACATACAGCTAAACACAATTGCATAAAGTTGAATACATGCATACATACATACGTACAGGTGCATACATGCATCAAATGTACAATACTGTAAGTTTGCATGTCTGCATACAAACTTGAACTGAGTCAGCCAGTCCTCACCTAAACCCATAAACCTACATGGTTACTTAAACCACCTTGCATTCCCATGTGAGACAAGGTGACCTGCTGCAGACTGCTTCTCACCTTCCCCACCGCCACGTCCATGAGGCTGGACATTTCGGACACCGGCGAGACCTCGCTTGATGCGGTACAGGAAGTAGGGAAGTCAGGGCTTCATTAAGGCTTCGGGTTCAAGATTGGAGGCTTGGGGTGCTTCGTGTAGGGCTTGTAATGCTTGCTCTGTGTATACAGCTTAGTAAATAGCGTCAATAATGCCTGCTAGATCGGCCGGGCTGTTGCGCATGAAACGAGCATCGAAGGCTCTGTGCCGCTGAGTAGGGACTGCCCTGACTCGACGAGTTCGGACTGACTAAGACTAAGGTTCCTCGGCAACCGCTAGGCCCTAAGCCCCGAAGTGCCAGCCAAGAGGCTGCAGACGTCAATTCCTTCAGGTCCTTGCTCCGGCTCCGGCGGCTTCTTTCGTAAGGTTTTGAAAGGGCTGTCTCGGGCTTACAGAGTTTGGAAGGGTTCGTCAACGAGGGTTGATGGCTAGGCCTAGGTGGGGTCCTTTACGGAATATACCTTTCGTGGGTCCCAATTGGAGTTCAAGAACAGTCCGTCATTCAGGGATGCTGTCTCTGTGCAGCTCCTTCAGGTCCTCTCGCGCACGGGTTTTAGGGTGATAGGGTTTAGGGTTTGGGACAGGGTCCCGAACGAATTAGCCAGGGCTTTAAAGGGTACAGGTAGGGTAGTTGTAGACACGTGTATGGCCTCTATCAAGATCGTTGTACTCAAGCGCATAACTTCCCACAAACCTTCCAAGCACTGTACACTGTACGGAAGCAAAACATGGGGACCCGCATAATCCGAGATGGTATAGAGCATTCTGGATTGGTGTCCCCATATTTGTTGAAATTATTCTTGAGACCCTAAAAAAACCCTCATACAACTTTGAAACATCGGAATACCCGTATGAATCCCTACAGAAGCCCGCACTCGCTCGGCGCCAGGTCCTTCCGCACCTGGGCAGTTTCATATTCCAGACTGCGCAGCGTCTGGTGGAAACTTCTCCTGGGGGATCAATGATGAGCAGTGATGTTTCGAATGCTACGACCTCAGGACAGAACTAATGAGCCTGTTACAATCAAGTGCCTTCCATGAGCCCCACTCCCTACATTTTAAGATGTATAAGGCAGAAGCTTGCACATTACTTGTGAACTCCGCTCTCTTCGCTTCCGGAGCCTTCCAGGCAAGACACCCAAACAATGAAAGGGCTGTGCTGGGTTGTCACGGCCGCAATGAAAGGACTAAGTTTCAGGGCTCAAAGTTTGGGACATGGGGTTTGTAGGTGTTTGCGGGTAAAGGGTTCATGGTCCATGGTTCACACGGCACAACAGGCATTGCTGGGCTAGATGGCTTCAAGGTTCTTACGGTGGGAGAGCTCGAGGTTGCTGTCATCTTCACTCTCCCTCACCCCGACCCCACGGCCTTCAATGACCAGGCCCATTTGAAGTTCATTGTCTTGTAGCTGAAGATGATAAGCTATTGCAATCCGAAATGTCTCCAAAGCTCTCCGGCCGACTATGTCGGTGGGGGATATTATCAGAGGAGTAAAAACCAACCCAACTTTAATCTCGGCAACAGCGCAAGCAGACTTAGCAAACCTCCACATCGGGATCTTGACCCAAGGATGTTAGGGGTCAAGACGGGCGGCAGATGGCCAAACTCGCGCAAGAGATTGTCAAACTTCCCAGCGAAACTGAGCGCAGTGCTTCCGGCGTGACGTTTGCAGGTTGGGGTTCCGATAGAGTTGAAAAAAAGGGCTAATTACGTTGCTTCATCGGTGGTTGGCTGGTCAAAACCTTGCTCTGTCCAATTTGCTTGTGAAAACTCGTGTGCCTCCAAGTGGGCTTCCGAGTCAGGGTTCAGGCTAACCGGGATCTCGAGCATTTACTACTCGTTCATGTTGGAGGCTTATGGCATACGGCGCGTGTGTGGGAAGCCGCGACAAACGAACAAGTTCGTTCTGCATCGTTTGGCATGCAGCTCTAAGCATTCAGACAGATCTGCTATCCCTCGAAATGCCAGCCAGTCGCGCGCCCGTAGCCACCTGGCTGGATCTGTCTAACTCTCGGGACATGACGAATTCAGACTTGCCCCTTTATTCTAAATATCCGACGGAGGGCTCATCAGAACTACGAACCCTACGGCATGCAGAATCAATCTGGGATGTTCCAAGACCGACATCCACTGTTGGACTCGAATGACTGTGCCAAGTATCGGGTCAAATGCAAGGCGATTGCATGTGTCTTCGTTTCTATCATAGCCGTTGTTGCCGGTACTTCTTTTGAGCTATCATGGCAGTTCGCACTGTTACTGTGACACGAAGACACCGAAACTGGGCAAAGATGCCATTCTACACAGCTTCGAGGTTGCAAAGGCACAACTTCCATCCGCCCAGAGCCGTGTGCCATTGCAGGGACAGGGAAGCATCGGCCCACCATACCTCACCCAACAAGTCTGAAGTTTCGCTGCTCCCCGCCGTCCTCGAGCTGTCGTTGCCGAAGCTCGGCATTCAGCCTCAGAAGCTCCTGCCAGAACCCTAAGCTCTCTGTAGGGTCTTTGGGTGCGTTGATGCGGGCTTCATAACGGTGTACGTTCATGTGAGCTTCGATCCCCACGGAAAAGAACAGGGACTGACACATGCAACTTCTCACTGGATCTTTGAGCAACGTCTGATGAAACCCTGGCAAGCCTGATCAAACCTGAAAGAACGCTCAACACAACCCGCAAACCGCCCCAAGCTCCGAAAATAAAGGCGTTCCCGTTCTAAGTCCTCGCAGTGGAGCCTTAAGCGATCCACTTCTCCGCTTTCGCTACTTGGGCCTCGGCTGCTAGGGCCGGGTCCAGGAAAGGGTTCTTTGAATGGTTTCTTTAAATCGTGCTGGAAAGGGTGCTATATAAGGCTTACCGCAGAAAGGGTTCTTCTGAGGGTTTTATACGGCCTCAGCAACTAGAACAGCCCTGAAGAACAGCATTGCCAATTGTCTAAATTACAACCGCGGATCTACCGGCCTATATGGGGCTTCAGAGGGCTCAGGGCTTAAGAAGGCTGTGTAAGGGCGTGCTGGAGCTTTGGGGGCTTGGTGTCTGGAGGCTTTGGCGGCGCATTGTCTAAGGGTTCAGGGTAAAGGTTCAGCGTTTACCGGCTCAGGGGGGGTCGGCTTGGAGTACCTATCTCGCTACCCCCTTGAGGGGAGAGCAAGGGTAACACCAGCAAAGTGCATATTCATGTCACCGAATCACTGCTTGGCGGGGTTCGACTGCGATCATGAGAAATCATAGTTCTGGCAGCCACGCGGGACTTGAGACTACCTCATGCAACGAATATAGAGAAACGCTGCAACAACAGCTGCTGCTCCTAGCCTTCCGAATCCTTCGTCGACGGGGATCGTGGTCATGGCATTAAAGCCCTGGTTGCGGCGGCTGCCTGGGTTCGCTAAGTTCACGGGCAGGTTTTATGGTGCTGAATCTCGACGCGAGGTCTAGGGCTAGGGTTCTCGCTTTGAAAGGTCTTCGGGCTCAAGGATATGTAAACAACTCCCGGAAATTGCCTTAATGTTAGGATCGGCACTCCAACCCAGTATTAATCACGGGTCTACCTACCTTAAACCTAAACCGGAAGCACAAGCCCAGGGACTTTGCTCTGCTGGCGCCTGCGCTTCTTCACCCGCACTGACGGTTTTCGCACGCCCCACCAAAGCCTTGCAAGGTCCCGGCTGGTGCAAGGAAAGAACGCATAGGCATAGGCCCGTGTAGTGCTTCAACCCAGATTGCGGGGCGACTCGAGCTCACTGTATTGCTGCTTTAGGGGGGGGAATCATGTTCAATTCATAACATCCATCACAATTCAAGTTTTGTAGATCAAGTTTTCTAGGTTGGCTGAACCTTTGGTTGAAACCACTAGGTAGGACTGCTGAGTAAGCAAAGGCAGAATTGAAGGCCAAGTCAAGCCTAAGTTCAGGACACCGCCCCTGGAAAAGGAAGCGAGGGTTTTGGGGATTTGGGTTTAGGCTTGGGGTGTTGTGGCTGTTCTCAGACTCAGTGTTGCTGGAGGTCGAATGTTAACCCTGCCATGTGTCAAAGTACACCCGCATTTGCGCTTCATGTATGTATGTATGTATGTATGTATGTATGTATGTATGTATGTATGTATGTAAGTATGTATGTATGTATGTAAGTATGTATGTATGTATGTATGTATGTATGTAATGTATGTATGTATGCACGTAGGAAGGTGTTCTAGGTAATCAGGTAGGTATACTGCAGGCAGGTATATACCTATATCTAGATATGTAAATACGTGTGTATGTCTGCATGTCTGCAAGGTCTGCCTGTATGTACGTACGTATGTGTTGGTGGCTATCAATCTTCCTGACTGCATGTCGTAGGATTCGCACTCAACCGATTCCCGCACCCTAAACGCTGAACTGCTGATTCGCTGAGGTCTCGAAACATGTATCAGGTCATGACGATCCCAACTTACTCAGAATGGGAATTAAACCGCATAGGCCATCAGGTCCTAAGTCCCCAACAGACCCGAAACCAACAGCCCTGAACCAAGCACCGTAACCCCACCAACCGAAAGCACTCCCTAAAAACACTAGCGTTAGATTGCTTTCCGAACCTCACTCTTCAGAGCAGTCCAATCATCCTCCGCTGGCTGGCGGGCCTTGGCTTGCTCTACGGGTTCTCGCTTGTGATGATAGCTTTTGAAGGCTTGTATAAGGGATGTAGGGTCTCAATATCTGGAGAGAACACCCTGGTTTGCGCGTGGCTTTGGAAACTTACAAGGCCTGAAGCACAAGTGTTATGCTGGGTATATACGACTGAATGATGTCGTAAACGCCTCTAACGAAGACAGTCTGGTAGTGCAACTTGTGAAGACTTTTCATACGCGACCGCAACCCCGAAAGCTGAAGTAGAAGCTAGTCCTACATCGCCCGTAACTTTCATTGTTCGTACCTGCATGCAGTACCAGGTCGGACATGCCGCCCAATTCGCCCAATGAGCGCGTCTGTGCAACAGCGACAGCACCACTTCCCCTCCGCGGGGCACGTAGCACTAGGAGTGTCTGACACCCTGAAGAGTCAATTCGTCCCAGAGCTAATAACTCTGTTTGTAGGGTTTACGGTTTCAAAGAAAATAAAATCACTCCGTTATCTATTCCGATCGCACTTATGACGTCTAGCACCCACCCAAACCTGATCTACATATTCCGAAGAAGAAAAACTTCGAGCCACAGGTAGACCCTGCGCTGTGAATCGTCTCTGGAACATCTTCTCGATGGGCGCGGCGGCCGTCGAGAATAATCGTAAAATCCAACACCAACTCGAGAGGGGTCCTACAACCTATGTGATGGATTAGCATGGTTTGGGGGCTTCCCACACCAGTTAGCCCTAACCCTAAACCCTAAACCTTGATCACGAAACTTCACTGCTAGCCCTAAATCCTAAACCCTAAACCCTAGTTCTGATCTAACTTAGGACGCTACACCATTGGAATACCGATTATATTTGCTTTGTCTTGTGAGAGTTTACAGTACCTGTTCCAGAATGCCAGATAATCTCAACCCTAGATCCCCCGAACCCCGAACCACTGACCTGAAAAACCATCCCTAAAACATGAAAGACAAAACCGCGAGATGACGTGAAAGAATTCCAGTCCAAAACACATGCGAAGCCTGGAGCTCTGAACCCCAGAGCCAAAACCACCCGAGTGGGGTTCCAAGGTCAGGGTTTACATGACTACCACGAACTACCAAAGCCTGATCTGTCCTAGGAGGTGAACAAATGCCCACCCTACCATCATACACTCTGAGCGCTTCAAGAGGCTTACACAAATCGGTGATACCGGCAGTATGGAATACTGTAATGTAAACCTTCGGTCTTGGAAAGATGCTGAGAACCCAGCACTCGCCATTGTCCACCCCTGGGCATGCTTCCTCTTCTTGAGTTTGGGCCCCCTAAACTCTGCTTGAAAAGCGTTTGTGAGCTCTGCTGGTCAAGGATTGTTAGAATCTTGCGGTGGCTTTCGTAACCCTAAGTAACCCCTGAGCTTTTCTCTTATGTCTTGGCACTTCACTGGCAAGTATGGCACGGTACCTCCATGTGAACCTACAGCCCGTTTTGAAACTAACCATGAACATGAAAGTAGCAGCGCTTAGCTCACAATTGTAAATCCATTGTGTGGGACTGCCTTGTATAAACAAGCGGGGATTGGCCCGCATCTCCGTTGCATGCAATCGCGCAAGAACTCGAATCAAGTGACTAAGGCCCGTGATGCTCCCAACCAGAAAACCACATAATCCTGTACCAACTAAAGACAAGCTGTAGAAGTATATGCTAGGCTTCTTATCGTCTCCCCCTACATTGTTTAACAGAATTCTGGAATGTAGACCGCACCTTCTAGCACGCACACTCGCTCTTGCAATTTCATTTAGCCACTTGCACGCAGGCTAAATAGTCATGATGGATCACTCATGAGCGCGTACGGGAGTAGATGGAGCTTGCACGGGTACCGCGGACTAAGATATATAGCAACCCTCAGAAGACCATGACCAGCTTTTCTAAACCCCTAGACGTAAGCCCTATAGATGCAAAAGTCTCAAACACAAATTGAAGCCTTACCCCTTAAACCACACGATCCCTGAACCCAGAAACCCTGCATACTACTTCCTAAACCTAAGCTCTCCAACCATGCCTGTGGCTTTGCAGTGCCCTGGGTGCCAGGTCGTGCGAAGCACGGCAGCGCCCCGTCCGCCGGGGACTCGCAAGAAAATGGGCTGACAGCTGGGGCCCGAAGCTTTTGAGGGCTTTAGGGTCTTGGGATTTAGAAGTCCGGGTCCATGGGTTCAAGAGCAGCGTTTAGCAACAGCTGCACAGGACCAACCCAAGTCAGGGATCCATCTCCTCCGGTTCTCTTGAACGTTCGAGTACAGGGCTAGAGGGCCTCCACAAAACGAGGAGAAAGGAGGTGGTAGGGGATCGAGGTCATGGCTGCATCTATTTCAAGCAAGTGTCTTCATGGACTTGCAGGCGGTTGGGTTGAAGTTGTCCACATCACAGCATCGAGAATACACAAGCAAAACCAAAGTGGTGCTGTTGCTTGGCATGTTCGAAATTCTCAGACAGTCTGTGCTGCCTCCGCAAAGGTTGCTAGCTCTCGGCTCCCAGAACAAGCCCTAAATCAGTCTAAACCCAAACCCTAGAGGCCCGAGTTTGGGGTTTCGTGTGTACACTGTATGGTATACTGTATGGTCCAGGGTCTTGGCAGCAAGGCGACTCAGCGTATTGTCTATAAACTCAGGGACGCAGCGGTGGAGGACATTCCCCGAGACTTCGACATCCTTCTTACTTTGACTTGCATAAGCTAATGATAAGCCTCGCACCATGTTCAGGAACCCTCTCGCCGCAGGAAGGTTAATTATTTAGCATCCCTAGTGTAAGAGTGCATGACGCACGGGGACCCAGGAAAGCACCCTGATATAGCAACCGCTCTTGTGTGCTCTGTAACAGATAAGAACCCAAGAAACCCTGAAGTGGCACATCAAACCGGCAAAAATCTCGAGCCTCGCGGCCGAGTGTTCGCTTGTCGAAATCTTTGCTGAGCCTACAAAGCAATGACTTCTGTGTGAGGTTTGGGACTTGAGGTTGTAGGTCATGGGGTCTTGCGGTTCGCTTGCGGTCTGCGGCTGCGGATTTTGGGAACTTGGAAAAATTTGCAACGTGAGCAAATAGGATTTTGATTTCCCCGTGGAGTGTGCATCACCAACATGCATGGCGCAAGACCATGATTGACCCACGGCTACGACTACAACGTGCTATTGCTGCTTATTATTGCTGGTGCTACTCCTACCGCTGCTTTCTCTCTCTCCCTAGCATATGCCGGCTGTCGATGACAGCACCGTTGCCTGACAGCCTTAGAAATCATAAGCCGCATGCTGTGGATCCACGCTTAGACTCCAGCGATCCCAATACAATGGCGGGTCCTGTCTTCATATACTACTGCTGCTGCTGCTGCTGCTGCTACGAACTACTGCTAAAACTAGTGTCAGTGCTGCTCCATTCCTCTTGTTGAAAACACAAGCATCATAGTTTGTCGTCATCAGCGCAAGCCTCGGGCTCACGGTTTAGGGCCTGAGTTTAGGGTTTAGGGCCCCAAACTTGACTTCCAAACCGTATCATTTCTTCACTGTGTGCCTGGGAGTCTCTCTCCTGAAAGCTGGCAGCTCACTCGGCGCCCGCGTGCTGAGCGTGTGCGCAGGTGGCAACATCATGACGCAAGGCTCTGGATCTGATTCTGAAAGGGGGTTAATTGGCGTTCTGGCTCCCTTGCCTCTGGATCTCAGCATTGCTTTTCTATACTTATGGCACTGCTAGGGTTTGGTTTAGGGTTCAGGCTATACCTGCCTTACTGTTTGGGCGCGCTTGGTCACGATGGCTAATTCGTCAAACTTAATCTCTGGGCGAGAATGGAAAGTACGTTAAGCTTCTTTGTGTTGGGCATCTTCTACAGGCCGTGGACGCGTTTCACTGACATTGAGGCAAGTATATGGAACCAGATAGAGCCGATCCGAATGCCCCTACAATTAAGCCCTAAAGCCCTGAACTCTACAACCCGCATCTTGACTGGCAGTACACCAAATGGCTGCAGCGGATTTGCCGGGGAAGATCAATGAGGTTGAGGCTCTCGAGCTCCATAGGGTTTACACTGTTTACACCTAGATCTAAGGGCTTTGTAGGGTTCAGCGATTCAGACCTAGAACCCACGGTTTAAGATTTTGGGGCTCTTGGGCTTAAGGACGGTAGGGGTCTGGGCCGTTAAGGCTGTAGGGAGCTGTCAGGGTTTGGCATTTTTCGGGTTCCATGATGGCCCAAACGCTTTGTATAGTGCTGATGTGCACAGTCCTGCCTTATTGCTAGGTTCAGGTGCGTAGGTACTCAAGGGGAATGCAGGATTCTGTCCATCTGGGGGGCTGCTTGAGATGTTTTGGAGCTCAGGTGCTGTGGGGTTTGAGGTTCTTTCTCTGGCTAATGATGCTGTACATGAAACCACTCCGCCTCAAACCCGAATGGAAACCTAAAAGCTAGACTCCTAGACCCTACTTGAAGGATCACGGCACAGGGTAAGTAGCTTGTAAGAGAAGCTTCTGCGCAAGGTTGACGGGATTAAGGTTTGGGGGTTTCGGGAGTTTCGGGCTTAGAGTCTTAGAGCTAAGACGACATCTCAGCATCCTTGAGTAAAAATGAAGTCTCCAAACCAATGGCCCCCAGCCCAATTAAGACAGCTCAACCCACAAACAAAGCTGCATCCGAGAAAGCACCTTAGCTAAATATTCAGAGAGCAGACACATCCCCTGTCAAGGCTTCGCGAGCTGGTCCGAAGAGTTACGAATTGCTTCTTGAAGTCAGAGGTCCCTTTTTTGGCAAACTTGTTTGGGCCTGCTTTTGTGGGACCTATATGATGGGGATTCCCTATTATCTGAATACCTGTGCGGTAAACCAGGTGTGCGCCCCACAACTTCATCCATGCCCCAGACTAAAACGACCCCTAGCTTCTATGAACCACCAGTTTCATCCTACTCCCAATGGACAAAATCCTACATCCTCCTATGGACCCTGAACTCTTCAGCTATACACACCGGATCCTGAACCCTCAAGCCCTCCCTGAACCCTCGAAGCCTATATCACCCAAACTCTCTCCATGAAACCCAACATCAATCCATAAAACCTACTAGAAATCACGAAAAGCCATCGAAAAGAAGACCACAACACACCACTTCTCACTGTGTGGCGGGCCCAAAGCCCGGCTCGATCGCAGGCGGCGGTGGCCGAGGCATAAGCCGAATGCCTTGGAAACCGTGACCTTCCTCTTCGGAAGCAAGGCTTCGAGGGCGCATAGGGTTTGTAGGCTTATAGGGTTTACTAGGTTCCTGAGTGACCCCCTAAATAACAAGGGTACCCTTGGTCCTAATATTCGTTTTGAATAGGCGGATCCCAGATAAAAGGGCAAAAGGGTACTACTCAGGAACCTAGTGGTAGGGTTTAGGGAGTACCGCGATCGCAACCCATCGCACAAAAAAGGCTGCGTCACAAATGACAGCAAACGAGGCTGAAATGTAGTTCCTTTGAACACCTTTTTGTCTGAACATCGGGCCGTAATCGTGAACTATAGATTAGCCAAACAATGGAGTTCTATTCACAGTTCGATGGAGCCTATCAAGCACTGCACCATCTTAGGCCCCCCCGCGAGGGTGTCGGAAGCCACTCCGATGCGTTGGACACCAGGGCCTCGGTAAATCCGGCTTGTAAACGCCAAAATTACACTCACCACATAGGAGCCCCGTTTTCACTCTGAATTTAAGCTCCGGCTTTATGATTTATCGCGTTGGATCCCGAACAATCATGGCCGCAGACCTTGCGCTGCATCCAGCAAAGGCTCCGATTCCCACAGCCCAAACTCCAAAGCTTTGATAACCTCTGAGCACAAAGCAATTGCGCTGTGCCAGGCAGCACCGCGTGCACAGGCCGCCACCTGGGCATGGATTCAGGATTCAGGGTTTCGGGTTCAGGGTCAGGATTTCGAGCTTCGGCAGTGGTCGAGACCGTTTGCGCAACACACGCTAGTGTTCACCATAATGGTTGTGGGAAAAGGGTACCTCGGAAATTCTGGTAGGCTTCCAATGGTGTCAAGGTAAACCCTACCCGCACTTCCTGTGGCATACATCCTGAACATGCATACCTGGGGAGCTGGCGGCTGCAGAGTGGGCCAGCCAGTCGACACCATCCGTCGCTTGGTCACCTGCAGCGAAACATTGGCTCTTTGATTGTGAACGGCTTTAAGAGACTTTTGGACGAGTTCGACCGGCGGTTTATAATATGAAGTGTTTATCAAGACCGTACTGCTGTTGCACGAAAATTCCGCATTGTGGGGAATGCAGGATTTTGTCTATCAGCACGATCCCACGAATGTGGCCCGGTGCTACGAGCGAGTCCAAAGGAATAACCTCACCATTCTTTTTGGCATGCATATCCCAACTTGTATCGTAGTAGCCCAAACGCCCTAAACGCAACTTTTACACCCCTACACCCTGTACTGAATCCTCAACTCAAGACTTTGGGAATCTCAAGCCCTGGTCACTAAAAGATACATTATTGTATGCTCTGAACCCTCAAGCCCTGAACCGCCTGATCTGCGTTTTTGGTCTGCGCCGGACTGTCTGCGGCTTTGCCGCTCAATCCGAAGCTCTCGGACTCACTGGGATGGCACGGAGGCCCGGCCGACGAGCTATGAATACAGGGTGGTGGCTTAGAGTGGGCTAGGGCTTAACGCAGCAAAGGCAAAGGGCTTCTGGGGTGGCTTAGGGTTTCATGGGCCGGTCAAATCTGGCCAGGGACTTTAGCTTCGGATGGTCTTGTGCTGCGGGTAGCTTGGGGTTTTGGGGGGTCCAAGCGCTCAATAGATCTTAGGAAAGTGCCGCAGAGGAGGCGCTTTGAGGCGAAAGCATCAAACTGCAAAGGGCCTCCTTCGTGTACCTTTATGCCATGCCGGCACCCTGAGCACCAAGAGGCCCAGCCCAAGCGTGTAGATCCCCAAGCGGTGATAGTGCACCACGACAACCACGACCACGACAACCGCCACCAGCACAACTACCACCACTACCACCAGGAGACCACCAGACGGTTCACAACCTCAAGAATTGTTCCCCTCTGTCGCAGTAGAAGCCGTAGTAAGGGCAGCAGATGCATCCCTGTCTTGACTGGTGGCTTTCCGCTGCTTCAGGACAACCTGGCAAAATCGCTTCGTCCGTGTACTGGCGGGATTCTGCACTCTAGGGACACCCCACTGCTTGGCCCCTTGTCTGGTAAGTTTGGAGAGCGCCCAACAGGCTTGCCCATGTACTCGCGGCATTCAGTGACACGGCGAAAATCCATCCACCCGCGCTCTGGCAAAATGAGCCACAAGGGGACTCTGTCAATCACACATGGGATATGAGCACAGGGTATGCTCTGCGTCATAGGCGGAAGCGCTGCGCATTCGCCTGTGCTTTGACACTCCTGCCTTCACACTAACCAAGTCTCTTTGCACGGTTAGAACTCCATAATGTGTGCCAAAGTTTTGGGGAAACATGGACATAAGCCCATGGTTAATCAACGTCTTCCCTCGATAAGGATTTCAACAGGGATCATAAGAGTCCCAATGTTAAGGCTCCTCACAAAAGGGGGTTGACTCTTCCGAGGTCTACATTACACCTGGAATCCAGAGCTGGACCAACGTCCTGGGAACTCCGCGCCCGGAACATCGGAACGGGTGCGAGGACAAAGCATTGGGTTCGGGGGTCAGGGTTACCGGGTTGTTGGTAGGGGCCTGATTAGTCGGAATAGGGCTTCGGGAGATGTTAGAATATGTCATTACAAGAAACCTCAAAGAAATACTGAAATACTGTTGGCAGATATTTACGGACCTCTACTAGCTTCGGTTGTTAGGGCCCTTCTTTTCCTGCAGGTAGAATGCCTCCCTCAGGCTGGGTGGACAATGAAGGGTTTTAATCGGGATTTGGAGCTGGGGCTGTATGGAGGGATTGGCCTTAGAGTTTAGGGTTTAGGGGTCGCGGGTTAAGGCGCTGTTCCCACTCCATCCCCGAATACCAGCCGATGTTGCCTCAGGTATGAGGCGGCATTGCCTAGAGGTTCACGGTACTTCCAATCAGCTATACAGGAACTTAGATCCTGGGTAAGCCTAGGGTTAGAAATACAGATATGGTCATGATATACGTGCCACGAACCTGAACGTGGAGGTTGGGAACCACAGCTGCAAAGAAGGGTGCCTGGAAGTGGCACAGAGCCTGGCTCCGCCAAGTCCGGATCTACATGCGGTCGGATCACCGTGCTAGTGTACAATCTGCATGCTGCTTACGCAGCGCACTGCGGCGGAGGCAAAGAGAGGTTCGTGCAATTCTGCAGCCTCTCCCCCTCTTCAAAATGACAACCGAATATGAATCCACCAACCACCCTCGTGTCTAAGACGTCCTGAACAACTCCGCATAAAACATATAAGCTCCTAACACCTGAAGCCACCAACACCTGAAACCACACCAGAGCTAGCTCAGTTATGGTAGCTGTCGAACATCTTCAGAGTTTGTTACAAAGGTGATGACAAGCAGTCTACTACGACCCCTAATTAGAAGGATCTAAGGTCCCAGTGGCAGAGTAAGACACTCGCTAGCTCAGCTGCAGCAGCTCCATGAAGGTGTCGAAGGACAGTTCTCCAGAGCCA